ATATGCAAGTAATAAAGTTAAACTATGCTACTATTACTATTACTATGTAAGTAATAGATATCTATAAGTATCTAAGTATCTATAAGTATAGACATGTATATGCACACACACAAGCACAAATACACATACAGACATACACAATAAATATAAATATACATACACATATACATGCACAGGTCCATATATGTGAAAGATGCATTTTATGCATGAGGTGGTAATTGTGGATGACCACAGTGTCCAAGTGACTCATGACATTGTGACTGAGGAGTTATAGAGCGTAACTGCTGTCAGGATGAATGGTCTGTCAAAGCGGTCCTTCCTGCAGCGAGGTTGTTTCAGTGTCTGACTAAAGGAGCTGCTCAGTGCGCTCACAGATGTATGTATGTATATTATACCTGCTTCCCTTATAGTCTTATGACAGAGACGATACCTAGTTTAATCTATCCACAAAGCCAGAATACACATACCAGTTTTATAAACAAACCAACAACTTAACAACATGAAGACCTGGATGACCTCTAATTTCCTGCTTCTGAGGATGTGATGCATAAGAATGCCTTTAAACGACAACAGAAACATCTGTTTGTGTACAAGAAACAGCTGGATGTGTTGGCTGAAGGTGCTATCAGGAGGCCACTGCTACAAATTCTCTGTTTATGCTCAGCTCAAATCAAAATGTAAATGTATGTTTTTTTTTAATGGTATAATTATTTCTGTAATTCTTACAGAACTTATAACCTATATCTATTTCCTTGACCCATTCAGTCAAAAAAGTGCTCACATTATGTGGATAATGGGGTGGTATGTTTTCTAACAGCAAGTGTGTGTTAACAAGATGCTACCATTAGTAAGAGACAAATAGAATTTTAATTTCACACGAGGACTGAAGCAGAAACTCCTCAGTGCAGAGGAGTCCAATATGGAAGCCATATTTGTCATAGGGCCCTGGAGGCCAGTGCATGGAAATGGACCTGGAAGTGAGGAGTGAATATAAGGAGGTGAGAGGAATACTGATTCTGTGGATGGAGGTAGTAAGACTCTGGGGAGGGAAACCGAGTGAGGATCCGTGAGGTGAGTAAATGAGCTTCCAACCCTATTTTATTCTTATGATCCAGAGGAGATGATGGGCAGGAGGACAGGTGGGTGAAACAGTGAGTAGTTTTGATCCCAAGGAACAGATTGCAGAGAGGTGTGGAGAATCTTACCAAGCAGACCAGCATCCAGGTCATTGAGCTGCAGGTGAGCAAAGCGGTGACTTGATGAGGAAACTGTAGGCACAAGAAAACCAGGTAAGTTAAAACCATGAGCATGAACAGAAGAAGCAATGAGGCCTGGTTACCACCATGAGGTAGCTGACGAACTGGTGGAGAAATGATGACAGTGTTGGTCTTAAATACAGCCTCACTGACTAACCAGATGCCAGGTTAGTAGGGCAAAGTGTGGAATCAGGAAGCAGACACGGGTTAACACAGGAAGCCGGTGGCGAAACACCAGACTCTCACTCAAGTCTTGACAATATTATAATCACACCCAATAATTCCAATAGAAATACTAAAAAAAAATGAACCAACAGCACAAACCTAGACAGGTCCACTTCAGTGATTTAGGGCCATGGGCCTAAAGTTAAGCCCAGATAAAAGTGAATACAGCTGTAGCCAATAGCTACGAGGAGGGCAAATTAAATAACACACCAACACCATTTTCCGTTGATAAACTGCCAAAGTCACGGCTGAAACTTAGAGGAGACCGAGCGTTCTCTGTTGCAGCGCCGATGCTTTGGAATAACCTTCCTCTCCATATTAGACAGGCTACATCAGTGCCAGTTTTTAAGTCTTTATTAAAAACCTATTTTTATTCCCTGGCTTTTAACTCTGTGGGTAACTGATATTTATATTTTTATTTTATTTTTTATTATTGCTATGTCTGGTTTTATTACTATGTGCATATTAGTATTGTACAGCACTTTGGTCTACCAGGTGTGTTTTTAAAGTGCTATATAAATAAATGATGATGATGATGATGAGAATATGGCTGAAGAGGAATATTTTAACTGGGGGATTTACTCAGTCAGAAAAGTGTCTGAAAATTTTGATCTTTGCGTGTGTGGTTCATCAAACTAACACGATCAACAACTTCATATTTCTGTCACAATTTACATTTCCCCCAGAGCAGAGTGTGAAACTTTTCTGATCTTCTGCTAAAAAGTATATTAGAAGGATCAAAGAAGCAGTTGTAGTGTCTCTAGATTTCTTTAATTATACCTGTTTCAGGGGCAAAACAGTTTAACTTAAAGAGGAAACCTTATATATACAGGGAGTGCAGAATTATTAGGCAAATGAGTATTTTGTCCACATCATCCTCTTCATGCATGTTGTCTTACTCCAAGCTGTATAGGCTCGAAAGCCTACTACCAATTAAGCATATTAGGTGATGTGCATCTCTGTAATGAGAAGGGGTGTGGTCTAATGACATCAACACCCTATATCAGGTGTGCATAATTATTAGGCAACGTCCTTTCCTTTGGCAAAATGGGTCAAAAGAAGGACTTGACAGGCTCAGAAAAGTCAAAAATAGTGAGATATCTTGCAGAGGGATGCAGCAGTCTCAAAATTGCAAAGCTTCTGAAGCGTGATCATCGAACAATCAAGCGTTTCATTCAAAATAGTCAACAGGGTCGCAAGAAGCGTGTGGAAAAACCAAGGCGCAAAATAACTGCCCATGAACTGAGAAAAGTCAAGCGTGCAGCTGCCAAGATGCCACTTGCCACCAGTTTGGCCATATTTCAGAGCTGCAACATCACTGGAGTGCCCAAAAGCACAAGGTGTGCAATACTCAGAGACATGGCCAAGGTAAGAAAGGCTGAAAGACGACCACCACTGAACAAGACACACAAGCTGAAACGTCAAGACTGGGCCAAGAAATATCTCAAGACTGGTTTTTCTAAGGTTTTATGGACTGATGAAATGAGAGTGAGTCTTGATGGGCCAGATGGATGGGCCCGTGGCTGGATTGGTAAAGGGCAGAGAGCTCCAGTCCGACTCAGACGCCAGCAAGGTGGAGGTGGAGTACTGGTTTGGGCTGGTATCATCAAAGATGAGCTTGTGGGGCCTTTTCGGGTTGAGGATGGAGTCAAGCTCAACTCCCAGTCCTACTGCCAGTTTCTGGAAGACACCTTCTTCAAGCAGTGGTACAGGAAGAAGTCTGCATCCTTCAAGAAAAACATGATTTTCATGCAGGACAATGCTCCATCACACGCGTCCAAGTACTCCACAGCGTGGCTGGCAAGAAAGGGTATAAAAGAAGAAAAACTAATGACATGGCCTCCTTGTTCACCTGATCTGAACCCCATTGAGAACCTGTGGTCCATCATCAAATGTGAGATTTACAAGGAGGGAAAACAGTACACCTCTCTGAACAGTGTCTGGGAGGCTGTGGTTGCTGCTGCACGCAATGTTGATGGTGAACAGATCAAAACACTGACAGAATCCATGGATGGCAGGCTTTTGAGTGTCCTTGCAAAGAAAGGTGGCTATATTGGTCGCTGATTTGTTTTTGTTTTGTTTTTGAATGTCAGAAATGTATATTTGTGAATGTGGAGATGTTATATTGGTTTCACTGGTAAAAATAAATAATTGAAATGGGTATATATTTGTTTTTTGTTAAGTTGCCTAATAATTATGCACAGTAATAGTCACCTGCACACACAGATATCCCCCTAAAATAGCTAAAACTAAAAACAAACTAAAAACTACTTCCAAAAACATTCAGCTTTGATATTAATGAGTTTTTTGGGTTCATTGAGAACATGGTTGTTGTTCAATAATAAAATTATTCCTCAAAAATACAACTTGCCTAATAATTCTGCACTCCCTGTAGTTCAATTAAATGGCTTAAATTACAAGCAGAAGGTTTAGAGTTTGAGGATTTGTTGATACCTAGATAAGCAGACAAAAAAATTCTGTCAAGGTGGAAATGTTGTGGTTTGTTTGTTTTTTTATTTTAACTAGAAGGAAGGGCTAGGAATTTACTGTCAGTCGAAATGGAAAACCAAATATAATCAGGGGTCCCTAATAACAATGCACAAACTGGCAGCATCAATCATGTGACTGTAGACCACATTTAAGTGTCTTTGCACATCTCTGTCTATGTGAGAAGCTTTTTCTCGGAAAGCTGGTACATTAGAAGTTCAAACTTGTAAAGGGGTGGAGGTGTGATGTACCACAACCACACACACAAGCGCACAGGCAGACAGAAGCACGTCAGCAGTTCTCTCTGCATATTTTCCTTCACTCTCTAATATATATCCAAACATTAATCAACTTGTGTTAGTTGCAACTTGACCGGTGAGCCAGACCACCAGTGAAAATGTCCGTGAAGATCCACACCATCGCTCTCCTTCTGCTCTCGCTCTATCTGTGCTGGCAGCTCTCTGCAGGTAACTGTGTTTTCTTCTCTAAAGAAAAAAAGAGAGATAAGATGTATTAAACTGATTGAATATTGTCTATATTATTGTAGGGTCCTTGTCTTACAATATGAAACACTTTAAAGAGACTGTTGTTGTGGTTTGCCACTATATAAATAAAAAGGAGTTAAACTGAATTTGTCATTACCTCACAGCAGGGACTTAGCTTCTCATCTCAGGCTAGTTTCGTAACAACGTTACAGCTGCTTAGGCCTGCTTTCATGTACACATACATTTATTTTTGTCTACATGAAGGGTGTCAATGGCCCACAATTAGGCCAAGTCGATCTCAAGTTTGCGCAAACAGTAATACAATTGCATAGTAACCAACTATCATTTTAATATAAAGAAGAGAACATTTACACGCTGAGATAGTGGAGTTCCAACAGTGGGTCTCACTACATGATTATTACAGATCACAGTGGACTTAGAAAAGCACAGAACATTCATTTGAATTGGGGTTTTTTTTTTTGGCTCTTAATGGTTAAAAATAAGATGGCAAGATTTAGAAAAACTTGCAACTTTCTGCAAACTGTCATGCCTGTGTAGCAAACTGAAGACTTTTAAGGCTTCACTGCATTTTTATGCTTTAGCGAGACATGTTTGACACATACACTATACAGCTCTGCTTTTGAGCATGTGTGTGATATGCTTTGCATATTTTGGGGGTAAAACAAAAGTAATAGAGCTTACCTACTGTAACATCAAACACATATCTTACAGTTTGTGTATCTTACAGTAGGAGTGACAGGGAGTGGATATAGCTTCACTAGCTTGCTATTACGGCACATCCTAACTACCCAGTCCTTTTATTTATTTCATATGTAGCTGTAACTCACTATCAAAAAATGGTTTATATAAACTTTGACACCAGTTGTATTCTGTCCATTTTTTACACTCTCACCTTCTACCCACCAAGCACCAGATGTCTGTAGTAGACGGTGTTTCCCAGAATAAATTTGTTCAGTTAGTCATGGCCTTTTAAAAGATGCTCCTTTATGTCTAAATTTGTTGTTTTGTTTTTTTTAAAGTGAAGGTTTAGTAGAAGTTCTCAGATTATATATCTTTTGGATTGATAAACCATATTTATGCAGTTTATGCTGTCAGCTGACTTGTACAAGCCTCTGGCTAATAAATACTGCCAACATTTTAAGGGTGACACAAAGATTCAAAACACCGTCTTTATAGACATTTGCTATTTAGAAATCTGGCATAGTTATGTCTGCAGTATTGTTCAGTGGCTACATTGTAACACATTGTCCCTCTTACATCAAATAAATATGTAGAAATGCCTCAAGAAGGCCCCCAAGTGGTGAGTTTTTCTTCTGCTCAGCTGGCCCACTTTTCCTGTTTATAAACAGGGTTAATGAACAATAACAAATTCTTCACATCTGTTAGTGGAAACAGATTGGTTTGAATTACTATGTGTAATGCACTTTGATGTTTCATCAACTCATTTTCTTATTTGTTTCCATAGTGTCAGAATGGTTACAGCGTTAAGCACAGAAACATTTACAAAATTTCAAGTAACATTTCAACAACCATTTTTTTTTATCATTATTATTATTTAGAGGAGTTTTATTATTTATTTTAAACCTGGAGTTCCCTTGGATTTTCTGTTCAATTACACTTCTCAGGCCAAATACATAAATGTCTGATCGACTTTCTCTCTCAGCTCGCCATGCTCCAAGGAGAAGGCCGTGCTGCGTTCAGGTCACCAGCCGCAATATGAGCGCTGACGTGGTGGGGCAAACATACCGTGAGCAGCCTGCAGGATCACCCTGTGTGAAGGCTATAATGTAAGTCTGAACATGTTGCCCTACGCACGAACATAAACACACACATTTCCATAACTTTTTCATTTTATTTCTAGTTTCCACACAAACGACGGACCGCTTTGTGCTGATCCGAAAGCTCAGTGGGTCAAGGATCGTAAGTTATGCTAACACACAGACTCAGGCACAAACTCGAGAAAAGTGCACAAAAAACTGAAGCTCCACTTTCTCTTTCTTCACTAGTCGCTGCGAACATGACGAAGGTGTGAAGTACGAAGCCTCTGGTGAAGCATCGCTGCCTTTCTGCATCATCTATATCTCCTTTGAAATGACCTTTAATTTAAACCAGAGCGCCTTCTTTTAATATAACTGTCTTATAACTGTTCTTTACTTTTTTACTCTTACCTTTGGTGTAGCCTTGTAATTTATTCTTGCTGTTGACTTCAGTCTGTCATGATGCCAACATTCTAGTTTTATTTTATTTTATTTTATTTTATTTTATTTTATTTTATTTTATTTTATTTTATTTTATTTTATTTTATTTTATTTTATTTTATGTTTGTGCTTATGTGCTTCTGTAAAGCTGGTACAGCTAGTGCTGTGTCACGTAAATGTTAATTCCATGCCATTAAAATGCTCCGGATGGCAGCAACAACAGAAGTATGCGGTAGACGTCCAGTTTAATGCCTAAATAAAAACGAGCCACCCTGAAGTTTTTTTTTCTAATCTTTGCATATATGTGTTGAAATTACAATCTATAGATTTCAATATTACATTTTGAAGTGAGTTTTAATTTGTTTCAAAGGACAAAATAACTTAATGTCAAATTAATGTCAAATGGAAATTACCAGCAAATTAAATGAAATTAAAAGCAAAATAGTCGTTTTTCTTTGTCATTCAAACGTGCCAGCCTCTGTGACAGATGCCAACAATCACTGTGTGGTTTGTTTTTTATTCAACTACAAGAAAAAAAAACAGTCACTGTCAGCCAGAATGGAAAAACAAAAATCATGACAATACACAAAAAATCCGTAATTAGACTGTACAGCACATTTAAGAGTCTGCGCCTGTTTTTGTTTGTAATGTTGTTTCTGTTGCTGATGTTGGGGTCATCTTGTAATCTCTTACAAACTACCTCCACTGCTTCAGTGACTGTTACACAAGTAAAGAGAGATGTAACATTGTACAAGATCATTGACTCATCTGCCTCCATAACAACATCTCTCACCTTCCCAAGAAACAGCAAAGTGTTGTGGCTGTGGTGTTTAGGGCTGCCTGTCAACGGGTTGAGGATCGAAGCCAGAAACTCTGCAATGTTATAGGTGACTGAGTGGATCATACAGACAGTTTGTCTTCAAGGTACACAGTCTTTATGTATCTTCATTAAACCATACAGACTTGGGTATAGTCTGTGGTATGAGGCCCCATCAGTGGCATTGTCTTGTTCTAACTGCTACACACAATCTATCACCCCCTGCCTGTAACCACTTCCTGGGTCTCATTTCAGGGGCTCATACAATTTTTCTCACTGAGCAATGACAAAATTTTCTCACGATAGTCTTTCTGTTTTAGCAAAACTGTGCACCCTCCCTTGACTGCCAGAAGGATGATAATGTTGCTGTCATTATTAATATTTCTCCCCCTGAAAATGCTTTGGGAGTTCAGAAACTACTCATCTAGCATCTCTAAGAGTTACAGTGAAGGGTCTAAAAGATGAGAATAAATACACAAATTTGTTTTGGACTGAAGATGTTGCTGGGATACTCTAACGTCCTTGGAAGTGGAACAGGGAAGCCACATCCATGCTATGCACTGGTTAGTCCTAGGACAGGAGCTTGTGCTTGTCATTTTTCTTCCCCCAAAGGAAATGTTATTTTTTCATTTCTGTCTGCACATTTTTAGTTGGCAGTTGTTTCTGGAGCAGCCCAGAAATCAAAAACTGAAATACTGAGTGAAGAATTCTATAGCAATATGTTATGTAGAGCACTTTTCCTGAGCACAGTCATACTGTGACACAGATTTGTTGGTGTGGGGAATAACAACAAGCTTTTTTGATGTGTGTCACACATTTATGCTCTTCTAACCTTGATGTCTGGCACAGAGTGAGTGGGTGTGCCAGATCAGCTGCCTGTTGCTGGCACTGATCTGAGTCGTGGTAACGATTTAGCTAGAAATGAGTGTTTCCTGTCTCCCCCAGAACAACCAGAAATCCTGCTGTTGATGTGCGTGTTCATTGCCCCGTTGTGCTGCATGCATCCTCAGTTCAGAAGCTTGATGAGTTGGTGGAGATGCTTCTGCCAGCCCTTCCTGTGAAAGACAAAAAAAAAGAGTCTGTGCAGGGATGAAATACACAATTTCGAAGCATCTGTTGCAGCTGAACACATATAATTTCCTTTTCTGTCACGTACGCTCAAACTTTTGCCACGTCTATATAACTTGTGGTTAACCACACGTACAGAGTTGATGCAAGAAATTCTGTGTAAATGGCTGACAGAAGAGTTTAGTGCTTTTGATACATTCTTGCTATAATACTCTGAAATAACGACTTTGTATGTAAAAGGAGAAAAACACGAATATCTTTAAGTGGACTGGATGATGAAGGATGAAATTGCACAAATTCAGGGAAACAGAAAGTGAAATCAGACTGAACGTCTGCCTGAGGCCCGCATCTTGTGAAATGTTTAGTTTCTTAATGTCACGTATGAGTCTTATTGTGCATGAGTAACTCTGCTCACTGTAACTTAAGCTATTTTAATGTGTAGAAGGGGTACATAGCATCCACACTGTGGAACTTCATCTTTGCATTTCTGCTTTGTTCTTTTTGCTTCCCAACGACATTGACCTTACTCTGATTTAACCCCCCCCACACACACACACACACACACTTTTCCAGTGTCAGCTTGATGAAGCTCTGTATTGGCCTTCCTGTGACTTTCTGAATCTAACAAACCTAATTCCACACAGTAACTGTGGGAAATGGGTGTGAAAATTCCAGCTGCAACCCAGTAAAAAGATTTTGCACAACAGTCTATATCACATTTCTCAGCACAGGTTGTGGGTGTTTGTATTTGGTCTAAGTTTTTAAACCTCTAGTAGTGGTGTGGCAGCAGTGTGCTTTTTGGGGCCTAGTGGATCTGAAGGTGAATCACAAAGGGCACAAAGGGTTTGCAGACTTGGGGGAATTGGACTACCTGTGCAACGTGTACAGGGTGCAGATGCCATCACAAGCTGTCAAATGTAATAAGGACACTAACAAATAATCAGGAGGAGAAGAAAGTAATGGTCTGTGGCCCACACCTGCCAAACCATTTTGTTTTGTGGGTTTCTTGTTGTTGCCTTAGCAGAACAATTTGCACTAAAGGAGGTGAAATTGATTTTTGATGGTTTCTTCTTCTTAACTGGATAGATCCATATCCATGTCTGGCATTAGAATTGGACTTTAATGTCATTCAAACATTTGACATGATGTGGAAAAAAAAAACACGAACTCTTAGGTCTTGGTTTGCAGCATTCTGCTAAACAACAGGTTCAAAAGTATAAATAAACATTAAAATAAATACAAAAACTAAGTTCTAAAACAAGATCTGTCATTTAAATTGCTACGATTTAAATGACAGATCTCAATAAATTTACATTATTGCGTAACGTGTAGCAGGGAATAGCAGAGCAACAGCAGCAAACATCAGCAGCAACCGTTCACGAGGTTAACATTCAGAATCAGAATCTTAGAAGAAACAAAACGAAACTGAGGTGCAATTCTCTCTGTGCAAAGAAAGACACAGTCACTCAATAACAAAAAGGAACAAACACAGAACATATATCTAAAATATATGTGTACAATATATATACAAATATGTCTACTGTATAAACAACAGACACAATTGTTTTCATATTGCACTAGTTCCCATTTGCTGGTGTTGATGTAAGGGAGGGGCGGAGCCATCTGCTGCGACCAGTTGTGGTGAAACGGGGAAGACAGGATAAAGACGTGCTGTGGAAGAGAGCCAGGGATTAATAACAAGCAATAAGTCAATGCAGAGAGGTCTATTAACACATAGTGATTGAGAAAGGTGACTGAAGTTGTAAGCATGTAAACATAATACTGTGAGAAGTACAGCCACTGAATCACTTTGATACCTGGTGTTACTTTTACATCCCTTAAAAATAAACAATAAAGTTAAATAATAATGAAATAACCTTAATTAAACTATTTTATTATTGACCTGTGAAGTTACAATCTCATGACTCTTGGTCTCACCCTGCAGGTGAAAATTAAGACCTGCTGTCTTTTGAGGCTGTGTTGCAGTAAAAACAATAAAGAAAAACGTGCGAGACATTAGAAATTAAAAACAGTAGGCACTCAAGTGGTGGAGCAGGTTCTCTAATAATCTCTGGACTGGTGGTTGGATGCCTGCTCCATCAACCTGATTACCTCTGTGTGTTGGATGAGATTTTTTAATTAATAAAGGAAATGTATTGATGCATGCTCAATCATCCAGGTAAGTAAATCTCCCAAAAGTTGATTCTGTTCATCTGGACGTAGCGTTTTGTGGGAGAAACGTTTCATCACTCATCCAAGTGACTTCTTCAGTCTCAGCTGACTGCAGGTTTCCTGACCTCCCAGCCCACTGAAGGAACAATGGGCTGGGAGGTCAGTTCCTTAGTCGTAATTATGCAAATTCTCATTAACTTGGTGGACCGACACATCAAATTCAGCAGGGAGGACATGAAAAGTGGCAGGTTAGCCTTCTTAGACTGTGAGATTTCCATCAGTAATGGCTGTACATCTAAAAGCTGATGTGTACCGTAAACCTACACATACGGATCAGTATCTAAGGTTTGACTCTCATCATCCACTGGAGCACAAACTGGGTGTCATCAGGATGCTACAACACAGAGCGAACACCATCCCCACTGACTCAGCGGCCAGGGAGGCAGATGAACAGCACATCAAGAAGGCCCTGAGTAAATGTGGTTATCCCAGCTGGACTTTTGTCAAAGTGGGAAAGGCACCTAAAGAAAGCTCCAGCCGATCCAGGAGAGAAGGACAACCGCTGCCCAAGTGAAAACCTGTAGTGATCCCATATGTGTCAGGAGTATCGGAGCAGTTGAGACACGTTTTTTCTAAACACCAGGTCTCTGTGGCTTTTAAACCTCAAAAGACGCTGCGCTAAACACTGGTCCACCCTAAGGATCGGGTCCCCCGACACAAACAGAGTAACATAGTGTACGCTGTTAAGTGCCAGGAGAATTGCCAGGATTTATACATCGGGGAAACCAAACAACCTCTGGCAAAGCGGATGGCACAACACAGAAGAGCTACCTCGTCAGGCCAGGACTCTGCAGTCTATTCACACCTACAGGCCAGTGGACACTCTTTCAATGATGAGGATGTACACATCCTGGACAGGGAGGAATGCTGGTTTGAGGGCGGAGTCAAGGAGGCCATTTACGTGAACAGGGAAAGACCATCTATGATGCCACAAAACGCTACGTCCAGATGAACAGAATCAACTTTTGGAGTAATAATAAAGGAAATAAATAGAAATAATATTAACAATAAAACTAAAAATCCCTAAAGTTCAGCTGCACACAACATCATCCACAGAGTATACAACATAAACCCTTTGTAACAATTCAGCCATCGTGGTGACACCTGGTCAGTGTTTATTACACCTTTGCTGCCATCACGTGGGGGAAAGAAAACAGCCAGCTATCTTTAATGTCCCTGCATGCAGCACAGGAAAGGCCATGCCACCCAGTGTTTCTGAGTTTTATGTTATTTTGTTATTTCATTTGTATTCTTTTTAGTTATCTAGTTATTTTGTGAGGCCTAGTTTGCAGTTTAGTTCATGGTTTATCAGGTCCCCTTGTGTCATGTCAACATCTCCATGTTTCCTGTTTTATTTTGAAAGAGTCCAGTGTTCTTTGTTCATTGTATTTAGTTTCACTTCCCCTGTCCTGTCATTAGGTTCATGTGTGCCAGCTGTGCTCCCATGTGTGGCCACTTCCCTTGATTATCCCTTATGTGTATTTAGTCTCTGTGTTTCATTCAGTCTATGTCGTGTCGTCTGTGTAAGCGTCCCAGTTATGTCTCGTCATAGTTGTCACGTTTCTCAAAGCCACAGTCATAGCATGAGTTCTCGAAGTTTCATAGCTTTATCACAGTTTCATAGGTTTTTCTTAGTCTGTTTTCCAGTTTAGTTGTCTTCCCTGCACTCATCGTAGCTTTTGTTTTTGCCTTCTGTCATCAGGCATAATAAAGGCTTGCATTTTGTTAAGTCATGTCACGTCTCCTTGCCTATGTCTGCTCTTGGGCCTTGCTCTAACTAACACACTGGCGGGCCGCGCTGTGACAAAAGTGTTAAAATGTGCACTCCAGCCCAAAGTTCAACACAAAAGGTTCTTCGTTCACTGCAAGATAATTGCTATTAGTAGCTGAAATAAAGTGTGTGCCACTGTGAGATCGTCTCTTATAGAAGACTTATGTTGTTGTTCTGCCATCATTTAAAACATTCTTCAATCAAATTTTGTTTAATCACAAACTAATGCACAAAAATAAGCGGTTAGGCCTCACCCATCAAACCTTCCTTTTTTCTTTTGCCTTGCAGCTTTAAAATCCTTTGTCCTCTATCCCTGCTCTACACACGATCAGATCATCTCAACCTTGCCTTTATCTCCAGACTGCTCAAATCGAACTTCTCCTCTGATATACTCATTTTTAACTTTGACCAGCTGGCCACTCTGAATTAAATCTTTGCATCTTCAGCTTAGCCTCATGCTTTTTGTTAATGACATCATCACTTTAAACCATACATCATAGCAAGTAGAAAAATACTGATATTGTATGGCTTGTTTGTAATGGCCAACAGGAGAAAGGCACTTCTTTCCAAAGAGAACAGGGCAGAATGAATCCACTATTATTACAAGAAACATCAGTCATCAGAAACATAACATTAGAAACATAGCATCTCTGAAAGATTCTCCAACTGGCAGGAAACCAGTTTAACATGGTCCTGTGATGTATTCTCCACACATAGTGTGCAACCTCATTCCTGTGTATGTATTAGATGGTGAGCAGATGATCATGCTCCCCAGTCTACAGCAGCAGTACAACCTGCTAGTGAACCTGGTCAAGCCCTCCACGGCTCTGAGAGGCTTCTTCACCCTGGACCCTGTAGCTCTGGCTTCTTTCCTGTATTTTATAGTTCTGATCCACAGTCAGTAAATAACCAGTGATTGAATCCACCTGTATCCAATGAGACACATTGAGAACAACACATTCTGTGGCTGTC